GATCGTCGAAGGTGGCCGTCCCACTCCTGAGTTGCAAGGGCTACATACAACATCCAAGCGAAGTGGTAAAGTCTTTATTCGAAGTTTTCAGACGTCAAATTACGACAAGTACAAATGTCTGGCTGGCTCCTCAAAATTGAATAAGTTATTTTGCTGGCCGTGTCTTTTGTTCAACTCAACAGACAAGACAGTCTGGTGCAAGAAGGGATACGATGATTTGGCCAACCTGTGTAATGCCGTCAACAGACACGAGAAAACGAAGACACACTTGTCCAGTTGCCTAATGAATGCCAGTTTTGGGCGTACACGCATCGACATGCAGCTAGACGAACAGGCCCGTCAACACATCTCAGCTCACAACTTGATGGTGCACAAGAATAGAGAAGTACTTCGCCGTTTCATTGATGTTGTTTGCTTTCTTGGCAAACAGGAACTTTCTTTCAGAGGTCGGGTGGAGCTGGAGGAGTCTGCCAACAGGGGCAATTACGTCGAATTGATAAAACTGCTAAGTGCATATGACCCCACGCTTGAACAGCATCTTCATACAGCAACCGTGTTTTCTGGACTTTCTAATCGTATCCAGAACGATTTGATTGTTGCTGTCATGGACGTTATGTTGAAAGCAATAAAAGATGAAGTGATGAGGAGCCCATTTGTCGCTATTTCCCTCGATGAAACCTCCGACGTTAAGACCTTATCGCAGCTAACAACTATAGTTCGCTATGTCAACCCAGGTGGTAAAGCTGTGGAGCGCTTTCTTGGATTTACCGATGTAAGTGAGGATAGAACTGCGGCTAGACTGAAACAAGAAGTCGGTAAAACCCTGAACGAGTACGGATGCGGCGAAAAACTGATTGCCCAAACGTATGACGGTGCGAGTGTGATGTCAGGAGAACTGTCCGGTTTGCAAACACGAGTAAGAGAAGACTATCCACATGCTCTTTTTATCCACTGTTGCGGACACGCATTAAATTTGGTCCTTGTTCAAGCTGTCTCGTCAACTAAAGAGTGTCGTATATTTTTTAAAACCGTCACTGGTCTTTCATCCTTTTTTCACGCCTCGTCCAAGAGAACATACCTGTTGGACACAGTTGTCGGCAGATGCATTCCCACTGGAACAGCTGTTCGATGGCACTATCAGAGCAGGTTAATCCATGCTGTACTGGAGACAAGAGCAAAGCTGCTCGAAGTTTTCGAATACATCATCAAAAATGATGACCAGTTTGACGGTACGACGTTAAACGAAGCGAGGGGCTACCGACAAGTTCTTGCAGATTTCCAGTTTGTGTTCTGCCTTAAAATATTTTCAGAAATATTTGGTCTTACGGATGTTTTGTATAATATCATTCAGAGTAAGCAGTTCGATATTGTCTTCTGTGTCACGAAAGTTCGCGAGACGAAAGATAAGATTCAAGAACAACGAACAAAATTAGTAGATTATTGGAATTTTACGTCAAGTATCGTCAAAGTAGCACTGAAACGCGGGCAAAGTGAAAAGGATGTAAAGGCGTCCTTCCGTCAAATGTTTTTCTGTGTAGTCGATACCATTGTCGTGCAGATTGTTTCTAGATTCGAAAGTCTTAACAGCAGAGCATTCGTTTCTTTGTTGGATCATTCAAACCACGAATTGTACAGCCGGAATTTTCCCGAACGAGAGCTGCAATCGTTGCAAGATTCATATGGAACATTCTTTAATCTTCAAGCACTAAAAAGTGAACTAATCGTTGTATACGCATCTGCCGAGCTCAAATCGAAACCTGTTTTTGATATGATATCAAAAATAATCGAACTTGACTTGAAAACCTGTTTTCCAGAGGTGTACCAATTGTGTCAGCTCATTCTTACTATGCCAAGTACGTCCTCCTCTGCAGAAAGATCATTTTCGCCTCTCAAGCGTATCAAAACGTATCTTCGCAGTACACAAGGGCAAGAGCGACTTTCTGCATTGGCTACAATTTCAATCGAGAAGGAGATGTTGGTAAGTTTGCAGGGGAAGCCACGATTCTATGAGGACGTTATAAAGGAGTTTTGCGCAAAGTAAAGACGGATGGAATTTACATTTAAGTAAATCTGTTGTAGGATTTTGGACTATTTCGTTCTGTTACTTCTTCACTACAATAGAAATGCACGCGTAGCCATTTACTTAAAACGACTTTATATCACAATACCACGTGTAATACTTTTAAACCGTAATTGTGATATATACTCTATAAAAGTTTTTGAATTTTTAGATTTTTCAATACTGTTTCAGTCATGACAGATACATTTTTCGACAAAGTACTCCCAGAAATCGCGGGAAATGCGCTCCAGTAGCCTTCAAAATCCAAAAATTTTCTGGGGGAGCATGCCCCCAGAACCCCTAGATAGCTTTGCGGCATGCCGCGAACCTCACCCCCAGCGCTTGCCTATTAAATTCGGTCACCGCACGCCACTGATACATCCTGTCCCCAAGTGTAAGAGTCACAATTAGCTAGACTTTGGCAATAAATGGGAAGACACATTGCTTTCTAACTTATTATTTTATATATGTTCATGTTTTACTTGACATTATCATATGAGTTATTTTATATATACATAGTTTAACAAAAAAACTTTTCCTAACAACTCAGGGTCAAGACTATTTAACTAACTGGTTACATAAAAACGAGGGGGGATGAACCTGTTTAATATTTGTCATATATGGTATAAACGAGTCTCGTTTTTTTTGGTAATTAGTGCATGTCAGTCGCCAAAACAATAATGGATAAAAAATATAAAAGTGACCTCGTTGAACAAGATGTTTTCAAAATAATGAAAAATATTAACGAAGCGATTCATGAAGAATCCAGAATAACAGAAAAGATGGAAGATTAAGATACCTTGTTTTGCATGAGTCTGGTAGCAAAATTCAAAAGAATTCCTGAAAGATATAGATCATTGCTTCAAATAAATATTTTAAAGGTATTTAATTATATGTAGTGATGCATCACCCAGTCAGCTCAAAGCCCAACGCAATTGATGCAAGAGGCACCTCCCCCATCATTTTACATCATCTAATACTGCACTTAATAATTGGGGTCTAAACTTTCAAGGATAACAAAATATGTTATTTCATAGTCTTTGAACAGCGTTGATAAATTATAATCAAGTTCTTTAATGTTAAATAATTTTCACAAAAACATTATGTAACTGTAGTTTAAACGGTTTTGTTAAGTTCTTTTTCAACAAAAATTTAGATTATTCCAAAAATTGTCACATGCGTTTAGTACTTATGCTTTATCACTTTTTTTCGATAAATCCTTTCTAATGCCATAGTATAATCAATACTAAATTATGAATCCAGAGTTCTGCCCTAATTTTTTACATGTGTTAGCTGCCAAGGCAAAGGGCCTTCTTCACTATTAAAATAGGAGAGAAGATTCTCAATGGCTGTTTTTGCATTTAATGAGTAAGTATTACTTCCTACTCTTTTAAGTCGACGCAATGCACCATCCTCTTCCTCCACAATATTTCGCCATTCACCAGATATTATGTTTCCACTGCTGTTCTATGAGTCTACAAATCCAGTAAGAACATAGTGGGCGTTATCAGTTGACTGTAAGTAGTTATGCAAACAAATACTGGCCTGCATGTTACTGTCCACAGTATCAACGTTTGTTTTGATTGGACGTAGAAAAATTCTCCACCTAGCAGATAAATTGCCGAAGACATTTTCAATGGTGCGTCTGGCTCTTGACAACCTGTAATTGAAAACAGCTTAAGGGAAGGTAAGACCTCTACCAGGAAATGGTTTCATAAGCTATGCTTTTCGGAAAGCTATCATCCGCAATTAATATGTAGGGGAATCATATGACCAGAAACATTGGATTGTTCGGGGACTGGAAAATTTCTATTTTCAAAAGCTGAATAGAAATGGCTATAGGAAAAATGGCAGTATCATTATCTCCTCCAAAGCTTCCAATGTCCACATAGATAAAGCAGTAGTGAGCATCGCATATTGCCATGAGAACAATGCTTTGAAAATATTATTAATTGAAAATGTGGAGCCAGCATTTTTTGGACATTCAATCGAGATGTGCTTTCCATCCAGTGCACCTATACAATGAAGAAAATTCTCTCTTCCAGGAAATCATTAGCAATTTGCAGCCAGTCACTTGCATTTTGTTATCTTTCAGTTAGAATAAGTCGAACCCTAAACCTACAGGGTTTTCGTTTCAACTTTCCCTGCTTTCTATATTTAAATTGAGTAAGAGTAAACATAATGATAATTGAACTCTGAACAAAACCTTCCCATTGACAGCCGACATTTTGACTTTTCGCGCGTAAATGTAAGTTGCAAAGATCCTGGCAAACTACCTGCGAACAAATATACAGGCGAAAGCCGCCGACGTTCACAGGCGTATTCGCAGGAAGAACGCCGGTAGCTGTGAACCATGCTCTGTGAATAAGTGCTGATGTCAGCCGTTCTATAGCAGCAGGCATTCTACCATCGTCCTTTTCTCTTTGCACTTTGATCACATGACCTGCAAAATTAGTTGCGACCAAGGAATTGCTTACGATTTATATTGTTTAGCCTTTGCATTTTGACTTAGTGTCACACACAAACAATATAGGTAAGCTGCACGACCAACAATATATAAAAATATTTTATTAATAGGGGCAACAGCTGATGTTAGCATTTAGAATAAACTACATCAAAGATGTTGTGGGCAACAGCTGGCGTGGGCAAACCATGTTGTTTTTTAAAACGCGGTAAACAGTACAAATGGTTTAGTATGAGTCGACAGTAAATATATGTTAGTGTTTGTGATATCATGTTCGTCATTAATTAACCAAAGACAAAGCAGTAATGTTAAAACAAATAAATCAACCTTTGCTATTTATGATTTAACACAAAAAATATTTGGTAGTCAATGCTAGAAAGTTACATCGTACAAGAAGAAATGAGGATGAATTACATAATACAACACGATAGAAAAATGAATCAAAAACATCCAATTGCTAAATTAATCTTTCATGTTCAAAGTCGGATTACTGTTTGAGTATTTTCCAAAAAGCACGGTTATAGTAATTTGCATCAGTGCCAATACATTTCGGTGCTTTAAGCCAACCGCCTTCATCACCTGTTGTAAATAATTATTAAATTGGACTTTTATCTGGTGAATTGCTCAAAGAACTGGTATTTGAGTAACTTAGAAAATAAATTCAAACACAATTGAAAATCACAGGATTGAGCACGTTCTGTATCGTTATAGAAAAAATAAATATTACTTTACCTCGGTTTCCTTCAATTTTTGAGCCCTCCTGGAGCAAATAACGCTGTGTTTGCACATTGACAATGAAATACCTGTCCTCTCCTTGTGGTTCAAGTTTCCAGTAAGCTCGATCGAAGTAGTTTGCGTCAGAACCGACACAAAGGGGAACTCCAAATCCTGGGTTACTCGTCCAACCGCCTTCTGCACCTCGATCACCCTTAATTTTGTTTCCATTTTGAAACAGATAGCGCTCGGTCTTCAAGTTTTCAATGAAATACTTGCCATTACCTCGAGGAACAAACTTCCAGTAGGCTCTATTGTCGTAGTTTGCATCGGCACCGACACAATTTGGACTTGACAACCAGCCACCTTCGTCTCCTCTGTTGCCTTCAATTTTATCTCCGGCTGAGAACAGATATCGCTTTGTTAAAACGTTCTCAATTAAATATTTGCCGTCTTCAAAACAGGCCATTTTGATTTTAGTTAACTCCTATGTGTTTTGCAAATGTTTTGTGCAAAATAGCACAACCACATTATATAGAAAACAGTAATTAGTCAGACTTTGGTGCTGTAAATTTAATTAAATTACTCGCTGTGGATAGCCACTCAGTGCTCCTATTGGTCGAGAAAAGCAATTTACTGGTATCCACTATGCTAATGACATGTGGTACAAAAAAAATTTTAATAGAGTAGGATTACTGTTTGTTTCTATACTGTGGCACAGCTAACAATGTTGCTGGTCTTTTTTAAGAGCTATGACTACGAGTACATGCATATTTGCTCTCCTCCCAATTATCGACGTCCCGTCGTTCCTGAAGGTTTTATATTTTAATGCCTGTTTCAAACATCACATTTTACATGAGGCGAATGCATTTAAGACAAAAGATAATAAGGAATTTTATCTCATTTTCCTTTTTTTAAATGCATTTGGCGCATGTAAAATGCAACGTTTGAAACGGGCCTAGGAGGCAAAAAATTCAGTTTTTTCCAGAATGCTGTTGTAAAGGACAATGTTTGGGTACTTTGTTGTTTATATCATCATGTAGTTCATTCGTGGAAGTTCTTGACTTGGAGCCATTCTCTTGAGACTTACCAAACAATGTTGCACGCCCACGTCGGCTGGTGCTCACAATAACACTGATAAAAATTCTTTTGTATCATACCACTATATAACATGGTTGAATTGTAAGTCAAGAATGGCGTAAAATGTGGAGTTTTTAAGTTTCGATAATCTATTATTAATATCGGCGTTTATACTTTTTAGACATTCTCATTTCACTGGAATTACTACCTCAACCTACCGAGGTCATTCTCGTCTTTTACTCTTTCCAACTGCCTCCATACATACTCCCATTCCCCCAAAACTTCTGTTTTTTTTTATTTGAAAACTCCAAAGAACGTAAAATTTTAGTAAAAAATTGCCAATGTTAATTGAACTACGTATTCTTGGCTTGCAAGCTGCGTCACGGCCGCCCTGTTGGATGATTTTAAAAAAGGAATTTCCTTATTACAATGCAATTTCATCAAACATGACGAGCATTCCATTGTTCTCTTACTCCGAAGGGGGTGGTTGCAAGCCACCAATATATCGCATTAGGTTAATTGGCGCTTTTCATATCCCGCGTATTTGTTCTGAATGGCAATGAAGCTTAACATAATAGAGAAACAAAATAAATTCATATGAGATCGGCAAGCAACACTTCCTACTGACCAAAACAAATATTACCCGACTTTCATATGAGAAATTTATGGACTGCTACAGTTTAGCTGACACCTCGGACGCTGACCCAAAACATTAAAATCCTTTGCAAAACGAGCCCGCGCTTCCCATACAAGTGCTTCGGGTTTCTGCTAAACTGCAGTCTAGTCTTAATCACACCTGCCGAAACCGAAGCAAATATAGACAAACAACATTTTCCAAATGCTGCGACTTAAAAACAAGCATGATGTATCTGGAATTCTTTGTATTGTGTAGGTTTATATCATTTATAGTCAATTTTTTATGAATACTTCTTTTATATACGTATAATGAATTAAATGCCATTATTCCAGCTTATAATTGCTTTAGTTCGGCTTTAATTCCACTTACACTCCGTTGGTCGCCATGTTCATAATTTCATCTCGGAAAGAGAGCTCATTTGGACAATTTTTTATCCCGTGTACCTATGATCTCGTTTTGTTACCCCCAGCGACGTAAACCTAAAGACAAACAAAAACAAAAGAAAATACAAAAGAAGGCAATGAAGCGACCGACACAATCATCAGTTTAAGCATGAGCATATAAGCACAGCAGCTTAACATAAGCATGAGGTAGAACAAAAACAAATTGAAAAGAAAATCTCTTTCCTTTTATTTCCTACGAGCTCTGGATAATGGCCGATTACATGGAGCAACTTGGAAGGCAAAGCTCAAAGTACTTCTTCCACAAAGAAAGAGATATTGTCAGAGAAGAAAATACTAGAAAGGGATTTCAAAAGTTTTAAATTTTTTTTTCATTCATAATGTATTTTAAATTATCTAGAAAACACATCATAATTTAAAGTATTTTGAAACAAAAGACGTATATTATAAAATGTGTGACCTTGCCGCCTGTAGTGGACGCTACTTTCCCCCTCTCATTAAGCCGGATTTCCACTTGCGAATTTTTTCGAGCGAAGCGATAATTTTCGAAGCGAAAAAGTTCGTAAAATTGGGTCTATGAAAGTGAATTGAATTTCAAAAGAAATCAGTAAGGCACAACTGAATATATAAATATACACCTCCCAGTTAACGTTCTAGTTACGCCTCTGGCTTTGAAATAGCATGTTATGATTGTTAGTGCTGCAACGATAGCCAGAACGCCCAAGAAAGTACAAAAGACGGTTTTTCATACTTCGTTTGACGCGTTTATAAATTGAACCGTCACTTAAACGGAGAATTTCGTCTGCTCGTAAGAGAGCTTAGTATTTACGACGAGGAATATGTTTCCATTAGTATCGTTTGTTTTGTATTTCGTGTAAGAAATTCCTTAGTCAAAATAGTCGGTTTTCTGTAGAGTAGAGTTGTTAGATATTATGGAAAGTCTTTTAAGAGCAAATAACTCCTCAACGTCCGCCATTTTGAAAACTGAATATGCTTGACAAACATCACAAATCAGAAACATTGAAATCTGATTGGCTAAGCGAATTCTTTCTCAGCGAAAAAGTAGAAATCATTCGAACTCAAATTTTCGTCGTGGCAAACAATTTATACAAATTTCATCGTTGCGTATATGTGACGTGTTGAACGTCTGCGCACGCTTAAATTCGAAAATAATCGCTTCGTGCGAAAAAATTCTCAAGTGGAAATTCGGCTTTAAGCGAAATCTAACAATTTATTTCACGTGCTTTTGATATGATGATATGCAATTTAATTGCAGTCCTGCAGAATTGTCTTTTCAATGATTAGCGCTATACATAAAATATATAACTGATGTATAGCTATATGATTTTGTTACAGTGTCTCTGTAACAAGTCTTGCTGTTTTAATTAAATGGCAAGTGTAAAAATGAATGTGAATGTCTGGAGAGGAAGTGAATTTAAACTTGATTAGCAATTACAACTAACAAATAGAATTTGTGTATTTTAGTGAACTATATTCTTGTGAGAGGACAAAGTACAGAACGCTTACTTAAAATTGATAATCCGTCCTTATTAATTTTATCAATTTATTAAAATGATGTCCATGGATTATTTCAGGAAGAATGGGAATGAAAATTTTAAGATTTTGAAATCTAACTTGAATGTTTGGTATGAGTATTTAATGATACTTTTGGCAATGTTAGCTGTTCTGGCTGCTGGAATAGAGGTAACGTCGAGCAGTTTGGAATGTGTTCCAGTTATCAATTGTCGCAAGATAGCAAATAACATTTCGAATGCGTCATGGCCACAAGTAAATTTTAAATTTTCTAGTCTTTGCAAAATATACCACCGGTCTGAAACTACAAGCTTTGCGGAACGAACGGAAGTCGTTACAGATGAAAATATCAACTGTTTATACAAACGTTTTGTCAATTCAGAATGCAGTAAAAGCGCAATTCCAAACTACCGGTATTTGTGGATCGTGCTGTTTGCTGAAGCATTATTGCTTTTCTATCTCGACAATATATGGTTGAAAATTCCTTCAACTTCGTCGGTTATTGAAAAATTTGTTGATCTTGTGACGACGTGTAACGATTTACCGTGTCCTAATTTTGAAGTCACTTTTGCACTATTTCAGTCGAATCATAGGAAAACCCCTGGACATGTGAGCATCTCATATGATGATACTCCCAACTCTAACGATGAATTCTACAATTTAGATTTCCTTCCTGATAGTGCAACTACTAGTGTGTTAAAGGGTTTGAATGAGAAACTGCAAACACAAAAGCTTGACCACAAAGAAAAACGTTTCCAAAATTTCAAATCGCTATACTGCCACTAGTATGTTTGAAGTATATTGTATAATAATATTTGTCATCCTTAATCTTTTTCATTATTCGAGAGATATAAAAGACACAAGACGTGTACACTCACTCAAAGCATTTCCGTTCCTCACAACTATTTCTTATGCTCTGACAGCCTAGCGCCGGCTTTGTCTTTTATTGTATACATTTATAATGTGATTTTATCTGTGAGTGGAGTGCTAGTAATTTGGAAAAGTTTTACGTTTATTCAATTGTCTCGTACAAAAAGTATTTATGATTTTTCCGTAAAATTACCTCAACAATCTTTTGATCAGCTATCCGATGTAGATCCAATATGTGGAGATCTTGGTTTTTCTTCATTTATTGGACTCTTACAACAAAATGTACGTTATAAGGTTTGCTCATTTCCTTTCAAAAGACAATGAAAAGAAGATCGATGCCCATACATTAAACAATGAATTTCCTGTTTCAATTCTACAAGCCACTGTAGAAAAAAAACATAAACTATCGTTTAGCAATCTTCCGGGAATTCTTCATACGATTTTTGATCAATTAGTTTGCGAAAATCTCGTTCACCTCAACTTTAGCAACTGCCGTTTTTATCAGGATAGTTTTGAGAACTTTAACAAGCTTACCTATCTGAAAGATTTGTCCATGCTAGATTGTCACCTGACGTCAATTCCGAAAGGAATTTTTGATTTGGCAAAGCTTGAAGAACTTCATCTTAGTAGAAATTTTTGAAATAATTCTCACCCAAATTCAACGTTTGTGGCTCATTTTTGTACTTGGTGCTTTACTGTAAATTAATTACTAAATATATAATGTTCACTAACTCTTTGACAACACAAAATGTATGGTGGCTAAAAGCTACCTTTCAATTTTTCTAAAAAATAATGAATAGAAATAATAAAATTAAAACGAATAATTAATAAGTGCAATTCAAAGCAGGAAAAAACAAGTTCAATTTAATATTCTTGTCACAAAATGAAAATAAAATCAATTGAATGTAAATTCAAGTTTCCGCACGTCTTAAAGCTGCCATAGTATACCAAAATACCTTGCGTGCATCATGTCAACTTGCTGCAAAATGAAATTTAGGTGTATTTTTGTCAAATGCACATTTGAAATTTCCCGATATATGAACAAACGTCTATAGGTCTCAAAAAACTTTATTGAAAGCA